GTTAATTAGAATGCATAGGCAATGATACTGCCATGTTTTTGATGCAGGATGCACAAACAAATTATGATTGTAGGTAGGGAAAAAAAACTCTAGGAAAGGTATTCTGAAGTAGACAATGGTAGGCCATAGTAAATGTTGATGTTGCATAAAACAAAGTACTTGTGTTGGCAAACCCTTTAGAACCATATATAATTAATATATGAGAAATCAAAGTTGATATAGGAGAGTCGTATTAAGAAGAATTCTTAAAAGTTCTAGCATTTCAAATTGGTAATGATATAGAAAGAGATTGGTTTTGTTGGTGATTAAAATCATGTAGAAACATTATAATTATCAAGACCTGAAATGCATAAGTCTTAGTAAGTTAAGGATCAGTTATTTAGATTGTCTACAAATATACAAAAGCAATTTGGATTGTGTTTCAAATGTGGATCAGTTATAGTCAATTTATCAGTGCAAGTTTCATACGAAAAATGGATAGACCAAATTCAGAATATCATTGATTGCAAAACAAACATGTCTGATTCATATTACATAATACATAGGTTTGTGCATAAGGGAGTACATAAGGTTGTATTAAACAACAGTAGTTAACATAGTTGTGCAGAAGTTTGGAATGAATCCTTACACAAATGATCTTAACAAAATATTTGAATCTAACACAAAATGAGGTACTCACTAAAGAGTCACTCCTTCTTGAGGTGCTTCACCTTGGTTGCTTAATTCTTTGGAGTCAGGACATCATCTTGCAAAAAATCATCAGGAAAAGTAGGAATGGCGGCCCTCTTAGTCGATGTGTTGCTAGAGCAAGTGGATGGACTGCAAGTTTGGGTGGCAGAAATTTTTGGATGTGTGTCGCAGTGTTGGCCAGAAGATTGTGTTGGCTAGACAAAACAAAACCAACAGGTCAATATGTTATGCCTGTAGTACACAACAGTATATTGGAACTTTTGCAACATGTTAAGAAAGAAGGCATACAATTGGTTCAAGTTTTGTATCCATAGCATGCTCTGTATCAGTTTTCAAAAAGGCAGCCTTAGAGGTATGCTGCCAAAACATAAGACCAGAAATTGAAACCAGTCAGTTATGTTCAACACATGATAAATTTGAAAGTTTACGCATTAAGAGTTCATTTCCACAACCAAACCGTACCTCACCCAGTTTAAGAGCTTTAGATAATGTCTTGTAAACACCAGGATCGTTAAGGATAGTAACAATTGAGAGTTGATTGAAAAAAGATTGATATTTGATTCTAAATGCATGTTGTTGATCCAAAAGTTTGTCTAGGTGTGTGGGATAAATTTTTGGGTTATCCTCTCCAGCCTTGATGAATAATAACATTAGAAATTTAAAGTTGGTGAGTAAAACCATGAATAAGAGAAACATAGTAATCAAATGAATAATGTACTTACCTCCTTCATTACTTGTCTCAATTCCCTAGCAGTCATAGTAACATATGGAATAACATCTTTATCCCAAAACACAAAGCATCCAACATGATTATCAAACTCGACTTCTACCTCGATTTTGTATCTATGCCATGAAAACAGAAGCGGTTCAAGTATGTAAAACAGGATGCAAAGTTATAATTGAAGGTATAAAACTGATATAGAAAAATTACTTTGTCACAGGTTCAACATCTTTGACTCCACAAACACATGTGAATTTGGTGCCAGTGGACTTGTTTGATGTCTTACAACTGGGGCAAGCCTCAAAATACCAACCATGCTTTAATGCCTTAAATCTCTTGGTAGTGCCAATTGTTGTGTCAAAACAATCCTAGTTTGACATCACAAAAAGTTGGTAGAAATTTGAAGAAATAATTAAGGTTGTAACGAAAATTTAAAAGCTGACCTTGTCGATTTCACAAATGTGACGGATACTCTTGACCTCATTAGAGTTTGTCCAACTTTTGTTGCCAGGCTGCACAAAGGATTCAGAAGTCTGGGTTATAGAATGAGTTGGTGCAGCAGCTGAAACTGTGGATCCTAGCCTGGAAATTTTATGTAGAAACAAAGATAAAGAACAAAATCAAAGTAAACCGAGTTCAGCAAAACTATAGACAAGTATCTAACTGTTTAATGTAGGAACATATTTGGTTTTAAAATCGAGAACTTGGGGATGCTCCAAGTTGATGTGGAGTCTTGATTCATTCCATGCATTAGATAGGCTAGGCAATCCAGATGCTGCTTGACAAAATTCAGACATTAAGTTATTGAATTGATAAACATGCATATGTATCATAGTTCCTGCATAATGATGCTTGCATATGTATCACAGTTCATGCATAATGATGTTTGCATATGTATCTATATTACATAATGATGTTGTTAAGACAGTTCTTGCATGTGTATCACAGTAAATTTGTTACCTTGATTTTTCTTGCACCATGCGTGTGTTAAGACAATGAGTGTTGGTCCGGGAAACTTGTTGGAGCTATTATAGCTCATGAACTGTTTACCGTAATCATCCCATAACGCAACCTCAATAATATTACCAGCTCCATCTCTTAGAGTGATGTTGGCACATGATTTCTTACCACCACCGCCCATTTGCGTCTTCACAACATCTTGTAAAACCCCGACGACATCTGTAATATATGAGAATGAGAAAAAGTGACAATGTTTTCTTCTGTATCATATGTAGTTAATTCAATATCCATTTAGTATGAAAAATATCAATATATAACATATGTATAATATGAATACATCTCACCATATAAGAGATCATTGATGAAATTTCCAGTGAGAAAGTCGACAATCGGCTTAAACTTGAATTGGTGTTTCGGTATTTCCGGTATTCGCAATTTCAAAACAGTCGTTTCTCCATTGAAGACAAGTTTCAACTTGTTGGGGCAAACTTTGAATGTGCCATCATTAGTCATTGGCTCTCCATTGTAAAGGCAATAAGTCTCATGTTCAGTTAAACTGTTCATACCAGTCTTTAAACTCACGGTTCCGAGTTGTGCCATGGATTTGATCACCCTACAAAATGGGTAAACATTCAAGAAAATGGACAATAATAATATAGAAACAGAGCAGGTAATAATTACCTGTGAATCTTGAATCACCATTTCGAAATGTTGCAGTCCACTTTTCTCCTTCACAATCCAAAGATCAACAACTCTAATGAGCATTTTCCAAACCTGTTTCCCTTTCTCCAAGTCCTTGATGAGTATTGGGGGTCTTGACATGGTTGCTTACAACTTCACAACTGCTTAAATTATGTATGTGTAAGCAAAAACAATATATTAACAAAAACATGTTTTCATGAAAACAACCTGCATATTTTATGGTGTAAACCAAAGAACCTACAATGTATGAATATCAACTTGCAATGTCAACTTGCAAAACAACACCAACTGAAACGAACCAGAAACAACTGTTAAAACCACAATGTCAACTTGCAAAACAAAAAAAAAAATACCATGAAACGAACCAGAAGAGTTTGTATGAATCAGAAGCATAAGCAGAAGCAATATAAACCAATAAACAGAAGCAGAAGAAATGAAAACCCCAAAAAAAGTGAAGAAATGAACCAGAAACAATTGTTAAAACAACAATGTCAACTTGCATAACAACAAAAAATACGATGGAGTGAAGAAACGAATGTAAACAGAAGCAGAAGCAAAGGAAACCAATGTAAACAGAAGCAGAGGCAAAGGAAACCAATGTAAACAGAAGTAGGCAGAACCAGAAGTGAAGAAATGAATCAGCAGAACCAGAGTGGGAGGACAAGAAGTTTGATGGGTAAAACTCAAAGTTCAGAAGTTTGTGGGGGAGGAGGGAAACAAAGCTTGACAGATGGCAAGAGGTGAGGGGTTGCAAAGAGAAAAATATTGGCAATTAGTTGTTTACCATTTTGTCCAACTTGTAGTGTAAAAAATTTCAAAGGAAAAGGCATTGAGGTAATTTTGATCAATTTTTCTTTGAAGTGTTGTTAGTTGATATGTAATACTATAAGAATATTGAAAAATAAATAAATAAAAAATAAAAAAGGGAACAAACAAGTCTATAAAAATTTATTAAGCAAAGTAACTCAAACAAAAATTACTTTATGAGTAGAGAAATTGATCAAATGAAAATAGAAAAATAGAGAAGTAACTGAACATTTTATATAGAATAGTCAGATGGTTTTGAGAGATTTCTCTCGTGTTCTTTCCTATTTCTTAAAAAAAAAAAATCTTTAGAGCTCCTAAAATATTTAGCAAAAGCGCATGCCAAACTAAGAGTTAACACAATGAAGAGTTATAGTTAGATGGTTAGGAAATTTACGTGACCACCACCGTGGTATTCTGCAAAGACGCTAACATAAAATCTTTGTATAAGGAAAAAGCATTCAGAATTTGAAAGTACAGCAACAAGAATTGATTACAAAGAATGCAAACACTGTTTTAATGTTTTTTATTATATGGCTACCGAGATGAGCTAGTTGGGCCAAATAGATGTAAAGAATAGCTATGGTTCCACCATTAAAAGTTGCAATAAAATTCACAAAGCAATAAAAGCTTTTCAGAGAGAAAGGTGACAACATAGAAAACAGTAAGCAGTGTTAACAATGGAGATTACTACTGCAAGAAAGGCATGATGAAGATAAGAATGTGATTTAATAGATGTTCCACATTTCGACTAAGCTTTCATGAATATTATCAGCAGCAATTGTGGTATCATGTTCGTACAGGGAACTAGCAGCACAACCGCAATAGCGGTATCATACGCTAGTACAAGGAACTAGCAGCACAACTAAGCAAAACTGAAAACAATTCCTTGAAGCCAAATGACCAATGTAACCTGTTTTTTGAGTCATTTGAAATCAAGGAGACATCGGAGAAATGTCCACTACTCAAAAACCATTACAACAGAATCTCCATAGATAAATAACCATTCCCTAGCACAAGGTTCTCAAAGCATTGCCCAGCCAACCAATTTTGAACAAACAGAAAAACTAACAAAATTTCAAAATCTAACAGCAAAACAAAACCCTAAAAATCTATTCAATTATCAGTCAGCCTTAGAAGCAGTAGCTGCAGCCTGCCCCCTAAGTCGCCCAGTTCTCTTAGCAGCAATAAGACCGACCTTCTGCCCAGGAGGAGCATCACGTCTAACGGTACTCGCGTGTCCGATATGCTGGTGGTTACCTCCTCCGTGAGGATGTTCAACTGGATTCATAGCCACACCACGGACCTTAGGCCAACAATTCCTCTTTACTCTAAATTTGTGGTAAGCATTACCGGCCTTAAGAAGTGGCTTCTCTGTTCTTCCTCCACCAGCAACTTGGCCAATCATAGCCCTGCAACCACTTGGAATAATCTTTTTTGCCCCAGATGGAAGCTTAACCCTGACAGAAAATATTAACACCAAACAAACATCAATAAAACTCTCATAATAATGTTAATCATAAATAACGTCATAAAATACAGATATGAAGACTAATAATGATATTAAGTTGAAACAATGAAAAAGATGAAAATGAAACCTATAGAACAAACCTAGAGGTATCATTATCAGGATTATGACTAATAACAATAGCATAATCCCCGGAACACCTTGCGAAAGCGCCACGATCACCAACATGGTGTTCAACGTTACATATAACAGCTCCTTCAGGAATAGACCTAACAGGCAAAACATTACCAACAACAAGAGTAGCTTTCTTCCCGCAGTAAATAAACTGTCCAGTGTAGAGTCCTTCAGCAGCTACAAAAAGCTCGTTCTGTTTCTTATAGCGGAATGGATGACGGAAAGTGACCTTGGCAAGAGGTGCACCGCGACCGGGGTCGTGGATGATGTCGGTGATTACTCCCTTGAGGTAACCGTTTCTTTCACCGAAATCGAGACTGCGGAATCGTGCGGGTCCTTTACGGTGGTGGGTGTGGGATTTGAAGATTGATCCCGCACCCTTACGTTGTGCTCTTATGACCCTACCCATTCCGATTAACCTCCGACGACGATTCTACGTACGGCGGAAAAATGGAGGTGGAAATGGGTGGAGAAAAACTAGGGTTTGGGGTTTTGGTTATTATATATAGTACGCGCTTTTTTTGTTGGGTTTTATTCAGGTAAGCCCATGGGTTTCATGGAATTCAGGTGTGTGGCTATTGGGAATTTATCTATTGCCCAACTGGCACATTCAATAGTATGTTTTTTATTTATTTATTTTGTTCAATTTATACATTTATATTAGAAAAAAAATACATGAATAGTGGTAATTTCAAAAATGCTCATAATACGATCACGAGTTTTTTCTAGAGACAGAGGAAAAACCTTTTCTCTTTAAGAAATTTATTGGGCTTCATCCATTTAAATTTAGGGTTTGTGGCAGCTTTCTTCAGTTTTTCTTTAGATCTCATATTTATCTAGTGGTGGTTTCTTTTAAATAGCTTGAAGTTTACCTTAACTTAGTCAGCTTTGTAATTTTCATGGAGAGATGGAGGAACATTTCTTTGACGAAAGAGGAAGAAGAAGAAGAAGTAACGACAAAGGTTGAAGAAATCAGCGAACAAGAGGTTTTTCAACGAACATTGGCGGGACGTTTGTGGAGAGAGGGTAATTTTAACTCAAGAATCTTCACCAATACGATTGTGGGCGCATGGAGGTTGAAAACTAAGTGAAAATGCAGGAGCTTAGCAAGAATTTGTTCCTCTTTCACTTTGTCTCCAAACGAGATATGGAATCAATTCTTCGAGATGGTCTATAGAGTTTCGGCCGCAACTTACTAGTCTTGGAGAGAGTCACGGGGCAAGAACAACCTTCAAGTCTCAACATGCATTATGGAGTCTTCTGGGTCATGATCTACGATCTTCCTTTGATGCTAAGGTTGTTGTCAATGGCAGAGAAAATATGGAATATACTCGGGGATTTCAAAGAAATGGATTCAAGACAATCATCGCAGCGGGAGATTCATGAGAATTTGGGTCAAGATGGACCTAAACAAATCTCTGAAACGAGGAACAATGGTCAGATTCAAGGAAAAGAGTTACCGAGTGTTCTTCAAATATGAAAGGTTGCATACCTTTTGTTTCGCTTGTGGCAGAATTGGGCATTAACTTAAGGATTATGAAGCATTGGAAGAGATTGGAGAATAAGGCTTTGAAGAACTTGATGAACAAGACCTATCTTTTGGATTATGGCTGCGAGCATCTCCACTTCCTAAAGTTTCAGAGGAACAGCCATCGAAAGATGGGAGTGTCATATTCTAATTTTTTACCCTAAGATTCTGTTTTTCGTTTTGCATCATCTGCATAACATAGCATGCACTTCATCTTGCATAGTGTCCAAAATGTCAGTCAGAATAAATTTGTTGGATTTACAGAAAAACCGGTCTAAATTTATTTTAAAATCTGACCAAACGCTATATTTCTCCAATATGTTGATTACGCGCTGATTATTTTGGTGTGTCTATTTTATTTTTTCGAGCACTTTTCTGCTCGACTTTTTATTTCGTTTTTTTATCATTTTTATTTATTTTTAGTTAAATAATCATTTAACTTATTTAGATTTAATAAGATATTTAATTTAAATTTTTATTTTTATTAATTAATTTTATTTTTAATTTGTTTATTAATATTTTCTTTTTTATAAAAAACACAATCAAACATCAGTAAGACTAATTCAATTTCTTTCCAAAGCAAAACCTAAACATGTTCCTAGCAGCATATGTCCTCTCCAAAACAAGGCCTAAACATGTTCAAGACAGATTCATTTTCTTTCCAAACATACACAGACATGTTCCAACACAATTACAATATTTTCATGAATTACAGGACAAGGAGACAAGAATTTAAACTCTTTCCAAATAGGTTCAAACATGTTGATGAGGAATTCATATCATAAGCCACAAAATATGATGGGTATAAAAAACAAGCAATCACACAAAAAAAAGAAAAAACACTCATACATCATCTTCCTCACATCCAAACCAGAAAGTTTTCACAAACCACGACGTGTCATCGAGAGAAAGAGACAGAGGAGGCAACGACGTGAGGGAAAAGACCATTTAAGGAAGGTAAAATTGAAAATTCACCCTTTATTTTGAAAAGCTGATGATGTGTTGCATTTATGTTAATTTTATATTTGTCTTTGTAGTATTGTTTATAATGTCATGTTGTAGTGTTTTTGCGTGTATTTGTTTATGTAGTTTTATTAAGTTTGTAATTTAAGTATGTGTCATGTCATTTAGCTATCATATGTTTGTTCATAAATTAAGCTATAATATTTTGTGTTAAATTTATAATTGCTTATGTGTTACTAATGTGTGTTATTTGATTTTATGACTTGTGTGTTACTATGCAAATTTTGTATTTGTTGTTTGGACATTACATATTTGTTTTCTGTGCATAAATCTATTCGTATTTGCAGTTTTTTTTTGTATGTGCATTTACGTACTAATTGTTTAATTGTACCAATGTAAATAATTCATTTAATTTTTTAGACTTCATTGGTTTATCTTTTAAAATAAATAGTGATAAGTTGTTGTCCTTTAGATTTCCACGTTCTCTTTCATTTGTAGCAAGTGTTTGGATGATTAAAGTGCATGTGTATATGAGTTAATAGCATGTCAAGTGATAATAAGGAAAGTCTTTGTACAAATATTTTGAATGTATTTATGTTGTATTATATGGTGTGGTTGCTCAAACATTAATTTTTTTAATACTATTTTATTTTCCTTCTTTTCTTTTTTAATTGATTTTTCATAATCTAGAAAATTAAAAATATTTTTCTTGACTATTTGTTAATTGTTACATTTTGAAAGTATTTTCTCTAATTAGTTTCTCTTTAATTTAATTCATATAATATTTGAAAAGTATCAAAAATATTTTAATTATTTATTTTAGTTTTCTAGTTATTTAGTTATTTGTTGAATATTTAAAAATATATATAAAAATATGTTGTAATTATTAGTTAATATAAATATAAATATTTAAATTAATTAATAATTTCTTGTTGCCTGATTTCAAAGGAGAATCCCTTTTGTTGACTGACATGTCATACTTAGCCTAATCGTAGGTCCTTCCCCTTTCATCCTAGCCTTAGGATTGGAGTCGTCGTACTTTATGTGAGTGTCCTGCCATGGACATTTCCTTTCCCGTTTATCCTAGCCTTAGGTTTAGAGTTTCTTAACTCTATGTAAGTGTCCTGTCATTGACACTTACCTCTCTTTTAACCTAACCTTAGGTTTAGAGTTTTTTTTAACTCTATGTAGGTGTTCTGCCATAGAAACTTACTTATTCTCTATGAAACCTTGACCACGGTCAAGAGTTCCTCACCCTTATTGAGTAGAACTATTAATGCTCTGATTTCATTCTTGTCAGGATACGTAGGCACGAGATGCGATGTCTTGGCAAGCATACTTAGAAATAACACCTTAGGTCTCCCTTTTATCTTTTCACCCTTCATCAGAAAAAATAAAAAATAATACAATAAAATAAGAGGTTCTTGTAGAGTACTACAGATACTTAGGATGTTATCACCTTCCCTAGGTATAACCAACCCTCAAACCTTAGATTCTCTTTTGCTTTGTATTGCATTGCATGTTTATGGATTATTCATTCTTTTTCCCTTCTCTTGGATAAATTAAAGATCAATGGTGAATTATGATTTGTGATTCAAGTTAATCGATAGTTTGATATCTAATTCTCACTGCGACAGAAGTGGCAACTTCACTGTGGATTCTTATGAGTTTTGAGGGTTTCACCTAACTTGTTTTATATGTGTTATTTGTTGTATATCTGTATATTTGTATGTCTGTATCTGCTTGGGTCTTTCCGTATGCAGGGTTGCTACCTTGAGTGGTGAGATAAGTCCTAACCCGGACTTGAGTGGACTTGAGTGAACTTATAGGGAGTTGATTCCCGGCCCGACCAAGCTAACTCGAGAAATCACCACTCAGTTGAGGCCCTCTTGAGAGTAGTATTTGTTGAACGAGTATTTGTGAAAATATTACTACTTTCGACCTAGGAGCCTGTGACATTGAGGACATTTAGTTACCATTAACCCAACTTGACCTTCTTAGGATGTAGTGTAGTGACTATGAAGGAGTAGTCCCAAAATAGTTGATACGCGATACTACACTGTGTAACCCGGTGAACTGACTTTAAACAATGTTGCGGATAGCAAGAGTCGCCACCGACTTTTATTTTATCCATAAGGAAAGGTTATAAAAGAACAGGAAAGACCTTAGAGAATATTTTGGGTCCGGGGGGTAGGTTATGAAAAGGGAAGGTATTAGCATCCTTTTCATCCATGGTTATCCATGGGCTCTTAGGTACTTAAGCTCACTTTTGAATTGTTTTGAAATTGTAGTGTGTGAATAGAAAATTTTCAGAATAGTTAATAAATAATCCATGTAAGGATGTGTTAAGAACTTGTTTGAAAACTTGTTGAAAATTTGTTTAAGTGCGAAACAATTTTGAAGTGAGCAAGCACCTAGGAGTAACCTACCCTAATGTTTAAAGGTCTTTCTTATTCTTCATTCTTTCCTTTAGTAAGACTATCCCTACTATAATGGAGTAGGTAGTCCTTACTTTGGATGTTAAGGGACATGTGAGGGACAATTTGACTTTGAAGGCCATTGTGGGATGTAATAAGCACATATAAGGGACCATCATCATTTTTCGAAAGGGACTCGATTCGTAAAGGCAACCATAAGGGACTTTGATGATTTTTCTATTTGAGGGACTTGCTTTATACACCCCACTTAACCATTATTCGTAGGCAACTTGAGGGATATCCTTAGGAAGTGAGACGGCGATTAAAATCGACTTACGTGTGTGACGTGTTTATTTTAATTATCTTTATTTAAAAGTGATCTAAATTTATTTTAATATTACATACATGTTGTTACACTCCCTAATTACTAACCATAATAATAATTAAATAATTAAACAACTTTACATCCAAGAAACAATTACAAAATAATAAGCAAAATAA